AAGATGTTCCCAACTGTCTGGGCTGCTGCTGCTACAATGCCATCAGCGACTTCAATAGCACCTTCACGTAACGTTGACAACAGTTTGTGATTGTCGTTTTTGCCTTAGCCTTTCTTTATTTTGCTGCCTGTTTTGTCGTTGTCACCAACAGGAACACATAAAGGGATTGCAAAAGCGAGCAAGAACGAAAAGGGGAAATACTATTGCGCTTTTGTCGGCGATTACCGTCGCAGGCTGCCGACACGTGGCCAACTCGACCGAAAGGCGATATGGTACTGTGTTTCTGCTCCTCGAAAGCGACCAAACTGTTATAGTTCGGCCTCACGGTATATATATACAAATGAGTTGTTTGTACTATTAGTTTTACACTGCAACTATGTAACTGTGAATGATGGGATAAAAACAGCGGCAGCATGGCCAGCATTGACTGCGGCAGAAGCAGTTCTGCTTGCGTTTTGTTCGATTAGTCCTCTCCATCACTCGTGACGCCGATACCGACGTAAGCCCGGTATGCGCATACTAGCATAAAGTGGTAATCGGTGCCCATAGACTCCTGTTTACCCTCTGACCTATAGTCCTACGAGTGGTAGCGGCATAGTTACCCGGTCAGTTTGCTAGTTGCAGGAGCTTGTTTACTGCGTAAAATGCGTCATTGTCATCGTAGCTGGCAGTGCGTTCAGTATTTGATTCAATAGCCTGCGGTTGTTTTGGTGCAATTTCGGTCCTTTCTGCCTTAGCGCCGGTATAGGGAGTCCTTTCTGCGTTTACCGGCGAATCGGCATCAAATACATATGCCAGCTCAGTATAATTAAGCGTGTCACAGCGCAGTAATAGCAGCAGTCGCTCAGTAACACACTCAAATACAAGACACGATGATAAGGAGATCTACCGTTAGGCGTAGTTTCTGGTAGAATCTAGTTTTTTTTCCGCAGTGACGAAGACGGAAACGACGGCAGAAAGCCCAAACTATGCAGCAACTCTGTAGCTGAAGATTCACAGAAAATTCACAGCGGGGCTTGCTTATCAAGACGAGTAGATTGTTTCTTTTTACATGGTATGGTGGCGATGTAGCAATAATAATGATGGATGTTAATAACAGTAACGGGTGTTTAATAAATGTTAACTGATAGAAGCATGTGAGAACAAGTAAGATAAAAAGCTACTGTAGAGACCTTTAGGGGGTCCTCAAGCGCAAGGCGGCGCAAATCGAGCGCGTCTTCATAAATGAACAGCTCGACAGAAAATACGACGAGAATAAAACTCTTCGAAAGTAGATAAGTAACACTTAGAGTTAAGTAGGCAGATATTCGTACAGGTAACATGTTTATGAAACAGATCAATACGACCCTCGACCAGTTACATTTGTTTCATATACAAATAGTTTGATTTTAAGCGCTGCAACCTGTATCCTATCGATAGGACTGGAAAAACCCAGATATATTGAGGGGTGGAAGTTTTTTCGAGACACAAACTTGATTCCAGGATTCTTTGCCTTATGTAAACTGACATACCTGTAAACCGGTTCACGATGGATACATCCATCTGCTCCACTAGTTTCTAACAGGGGACAGGTTCCATGTACTCACTGCCGTATATTAAGCGTTTAGTTTCGTAGGTGCTCTTATCGTCTAGATCTATTGCTGCACGGCAGCCGGCTTCAGTACCTATAACCCAAAAGATCTGCGCTGTTGCTGAGCAGTTTGTCGGAGCCTCTCGGTGTTGCCAAGTCGATCTGTGTTGACGGAACGCCATCATTTATACCAAGATTGTTTCGTTTCTGAGTCGAGATTATCGGCGTGTTAACCTACTATTGTTAGCTACCTAGTTACTGCATTATGGAAGCAGAACGATCGTACGGTGCGCGAATGAACGGCCGCCCGCCCGCCCGCCCGCTCCTTAGATATTGTATTCAAGACAATGTTTTAATACCAGGAATTTCATACCGTCATCTGTGGTAATCATAATGGATCATTATATACTTAACGTCCGAATAATAGTTGAAGAAATAGTTCGTTCTAACGAAAAAGGATGAGACAGGACATACACAATCTATATACCCTTAGTAACGACAAAATAAAAAGAAACATAGTAATGCCTGAACTACATGTGATCATTCTGGTCACAATGAACACATATGACCTCTTACTTCCACAATGGCCATTGCCAAAGAATGTATTCATTAACTGCTCTTTATAAAATTGTCGGAGTATTGAATTTATACGCATAGGGATATAAAATAGCTATTTTTAGTTCTAGACAATTGATTCCGTATCGTGTAGCATGCAAGCCTCCCGATCTGACCCTGACGTTTCATATAGCTTGCAAATCGTGTGAGACAATACCGCCAGTTAGAAATACGGCAACGTTCGCAGGCAGAACATACGCTATCTAAATTGTATACATTTGCACATGTTAGTCATAGCTCGAACAATTTTCTGTTTTCGGTTGCATTACACTTCTGCTAACGTAACATCTATATACGTACGGTAAGATACTATATTTGTTACAGCTAAACAGCTGGGCAGCAGTCGCCCAGATGTTACCAAAATACTAGGTGTAGCTTAGAATTTATTATTGGGTTATAGCTTTCGGGCTGGAGCAGCGTGGGCATGAGACAACGGATATTCAACACATGCAGCCATTTTGCAGTTCACAATGATTTTTCTTTAGCCGCTGATCACACTTAACTGGTAGGGAAAGATGAATATCTATCACAGCTGCTTTTTATAAAACTGGTTCTTTCCTCTTCTTGCAGTGCAGTGGACATCAGTACCCCTTATAATGAAGCTACCTGCTCTTACAAAAAGCGGGCAAAAAGTTTTCTTCGGAAAAATGCGGACAATATCTATTGTGTTTGGCCTTTCGATCTGATCTGAAGTTGCGCCAGTTTAATTTGTTTTGCATATATGGGCCGTTTGACCCGCAGAGGTTTTCGTCTCGTATCCTTTGTAGCTTTCACCCTCTCTTTCGAACCTCAGTCAGCCATTCGTGGTTAATGAGCCTCACTTCCACAGCGGTCGGGCAGCGGTCACTATCAACAAAAGCGATCGAGATAAGCAGTGCGAGATAATACCTAGTCGCGCTCAGACAATAGCCGTTGTTCTGGCGTTTCCCTATTCGGCCGTAACCGCTAATCGAAAATGCCCCTCCACAATGAACCTCACAGGCGTCAAGCCAGAAAAATAGCTCGTTGACGGAGATGGACTGAAACATATTTGATGCGACAAAAGATTAATTGACAAGCATAGCTACCCCATCAATGGGTCGATCATTTTCGAAACGTACCCCCTATAGGCAGTATCTTTTGGTCGCTCGAAGGCGTCTCTATGCATTTGATCTTCATCCTAGCCACATTCAAAGCAAGTGAGTTTTCGATGGCGGGCGACATGCTCAGAAGCACCATGGCGTATGTCATCATTACCACTCTACTTCGACTGCGACAACGCCATCAGCCGTAAGTCCGACCATGCAGCGGCTTCAACGACGCATCCTCAAGAATACCTATAGTCGTCCCCATAAGACGATTCCTGTTAACGTCCTTCTGTATGGCTGTTGTTAGTTGGCATTGATCTTCGCTGCTGTGGCAGGTGGTGTGTTGTTCTTGTTGCTATGCGGAGGGAGGGAGGGGGCAATGGGTGTCATTAGTGAGAAAGTGGATACAGGAAAACTAAATATCTATTCTATTCCAGTAGCTAGTGTGGATAAAAACAGCGCGCTACAAACTCATTGTTAGACATTAAGTGGCCAAGGGCTTGAATTAGTTAATTACCTTACTATTGCTAGTAATGCGCAGAAGAGAGAGAAATCTTCGCCCGAATCAACTACCAAAGGTATTAAGCAGTACATAGAATATACGAACAAACATATTTTAACCTTCGAATAACTTTTAACAAATGAAAATAATCTAGTTACAAAATAAGCCGATTTAATGATCATCCGTATATATATATATATATATATATATATATATATATATATATATATATATATATA